TCCCAAAGTGCTGGGATTATAGGCGTGAGCCACCGTGCCCGGCGACCCTCTCAATGTTTCTATCGCCTCTAAAGAAGACTAAAAGTTCCCACATTGGCATACAAGCCTTCAGTGAATGGTCTCCTGCCTATTTCTGCCCCTTTCACCACCCACCTTTCCCCAGTTTGAATTCTGGCAGAGGTCATCACAGCACTGATGGACAGCAAGGAGTTGTCCTGGGTCCCATGCTGCTCCCCATCTTTACACCTTTCCTCAAGCCGTCTGACTCTACTGGGAAGGCACTTGGCGCTGGTCTTTGCCTGCTTCACCTGTCATTTAAACCCAGGCAGGGACACCCAACACTCATCCCTTCCCTCTCACCCTTTCCAACCGCTGCCCCAGCATTAGATGCCCCTTGAATGCCCTCAAAACACTATATTCATGCCTTTATCTCTGTACTCACCATACTGTATGGAGAGATTTTTGTTTATGTATTTATTTTTCCAACTGAACTACAAGCTTCTGGAAAACAAAAACTGTCTTTCTCATTTGTGAACTATAGCACCTGGCATGGTATCAGGTTCTCAATTAATATTACAGTTCCAGTCGTCTACATTAGAATGTATTTCTGAAAATACTTTGCAAAATTGTATTAAGCCCTCAAAGAAACAAAAAAAGTAGAAAAAAAAGGAGGGGGAAGGGAACTCCGCCAAAAACAGAATGTCTGTAATGCCAAATTAATAATAGGGGCTACAATCCTCTTTTATTCTGATTCTGTACAGAGAGATTACAAAAGTACTAGAAGTTAAAGGGGTTTATGTCAGAACTAAGACAATACATGATAAAACTGTAATCAGATTAAGGCAGGTTCTATACCTGCTTGCCTCTAGACTCAATGTTTATTCAAGGCTCATCATCACTGGTCACTAGAGAAATGCCAATCAAAACCATAATGAGATACCATCTCACGCCAGTTACAATGGGAATCATTAAAAAGTCAGGAAACAACAGATGCTGGAGAGGATGTGGAGAAATAGGAATGCTTTTACACTGTTGGTGGGAGTGTACACTATTAGTTCAACCATTGTGGAAGACAGTGTGGCAACTCCTCAAGGATCTAGAACTAGAAATATCATTTGACCCAGCAATCCCATTAGTGGGCATGTACCCAAAGGATTATAAATCATGCTGCTATAAAGACACATGCACACGTATGTTTATTGCATCACTATTTACAATAGCAAAGACTTGGAACCAACCCAAATGCCCATCAGTGATAGACTGGATACAGAAAATGTGGCACATATACACCATGGAATACTATGCAGTCATAAAAAAGGATGAGTTCATGTCCTTTGCAGGGACGTGGATGAAGCTGGAAACCATCATTCTCAGCAAACTAACACATGAACAGAAAACCAAACACTGCATGTTCTCATTTATAAGTGGGAGTTGAACAATGAGAACACATGGACACAGGGAGGGGAACATCACACATCCCGGCCTGTCGGGGGATGGAGGGCTAGGGGAGGGATAACATTGGGAGAAATACCTAATGTAGGTGACGAGCTGATGGGTGCAGCAAACCACCATGGCATATGTATACCCATGCAACAAAACTGCACGTTCTGCATATGTACCCCAGAACTTAACGTATAATAAATTAATTTTTAAAAAAGACAAAATAAATACCAACAGAGTACATAATACAACAGACAATCAACATTCTGGAGATATAACTATACCTGCTTCTGGTCCCTGGAACCACAACTGCACCACTTTCTTCATTTTTCCTTTGTAAAAATGTTGCGAATTTATTTCTCGTCCTAGGTGGAGTGCTTACGCTCTTTGTGTTAGTAGGTCCATCTACCAGGTCAGGCACAAACACTTCAGAAGAACTCAATGATTTATCGCCTTCAGAGCTATTTCTCTTGGTCTTCTTTGTAAATGAAGGAGAATACTGACTCAACAGGTCATCTTCTGACAACTCTTCTAAATAAAAACAAAATTATCTGTAAATCTTTGTTTCACATGTACTTAGAGATTTGGCCTTAACTTCAGTCTACATCACATTGTCCTAAAAATAAGGACTTATTTTTTTAAAAAAAACGATGCCTCATAAAAGAAAACATAAGGATAAGGATGATTCAAAAAAATTCCCTTAGCTCTGTTTTATAATTTCACACATTAGTTTAATATCAGTTGTTTATACGATTTCATGTTAAAATTACCCAAATCAAAATTTCAGAGCATAATCAATCCTGTGTGGCGATGTATTCATTATACTAAGGGTCTAATTTTGAATATAAAAAATTCTCCAGGAAAATTTATATGTAAATATATGGTTAATGATCAATTGTTAAAATGTTCCAATAAAACCAGCAGCTATTGATACATATGGTTTATGTGTTCTGGGTTTTGATGTACATTGTGACTGTCAAATAGTCCTAAGTAATTTGTGCTGTAGCTCTGATCCTCATTACTTCATTATGAGGCCCAAGAAGATTGCTGTGTGTCAAATATATTCTGTGGTACTAAAATAAATCATAAGACTAATAACAAAAGTTTAAAGTCTGAGATAGGTAAGTACATAGAGTCAGCACTAAGGTTCTTTGAATCACTTTGACTGATTCTGAGTCTGTACAGCTTCTTCTCCACAGAGGTGTAAGTGCACACTACCGTAAGCTTTGTGAAGTTGATAAGATAGGTTGGGGCTACCAAAATACCAGAAACAAGATGTCTCATATTTTTAAAGCACAGATTTTTGAAAAGCTGTATCAGCAAATTAGATGTTGATTCCTGGCAAAAGTGAAATCTGTTTATTATGCAGGGAATTGTAAGTCCTTGCAGAAGAAGAAAAACAAGTGTTCCAGGCTCCCCAACAAGGCTTTCAGAAGCCACACCAGATTAACCTCATTTTTTTTTTCTCAGTAAGGTTATTAGCATAGCTGTTTGGGGACTCCGTAAGTTAAGCATGTCTTGAATTTGGCAAGACACTTGAGTGTCTCTCGCATCATCCTAGCAGACGATGCAAAGCACTATCTACTGTATATTAGTTTTGGGGATTTGCAGCAAGTTGCGCAGGCCTGGAAGACTACTACTGGCAACTGTCAGTCAAAAGAAAGTCTGTCTCATATGCTCCAGATTTCTGTACTTGCTCTGATTCAGTTAAACATTATAAAAGCAGACATACTGCAACCAGAACTTTTAGACTCATCAATTTCCAGATGACATAGATAATACCCATTTGTTAGAAAATACAAAGATTCAAACAAAAAAAATCAACAGGCAGAACAATGAACTAAAATGAATTAAGATTATTGTAAGAGGAATGAGTTAACCCACATTAAGTTTAAAATGTAACTAGACCTGGCTTAACAGCAACTGGCAAATATCAATTATCAACTCAGCAAATTCCAGCAAAATGCCAGATTGCAAGAATGTGAATGCAATCTTAGTTTGCAATAATACAAGCACAGGACTGAAATAGTGCCACAATTCTAAATATTTATTCTGTGGTAAGCAGACCACATTTCAATAATCATACTCACTTTAACAATTATGCTATTATTAAAAACCTGTATTATATCCAGAGCACAACCTGAATGTCCAAGGAACATAATAGCCTGGAAGAGAAATTTAGGAGGGTCACAATGGCTATCTTTAAATCATCTGAGGGGCTGGTACATAAAATAGGAATTAAACTTGCTCTAGTTCTTTTGTTTTGTTTTTGTGTTTGTGAGTGTAGAAAGGGGATAAAACCTATTGATAAGTTGTAGTTACAAAAAAGCAGACTTAGTCTGACATAAAGAACTTGTAAACTTGCTGATAGTGAGCTATTGGACAGCATATCTTGATCGTAGCAGAAGAAAATGAAAGAACATGTACAGGCCAGGTGCAGTGGCTCACACCCGCATTCCCAGCACTTTGGAAGGCCGAGGCAGGTGGATCATGATGTCAGGAGTTCAAGACCAGCCTGGCCAACATGGTGAAACCCCATCTCTACTAAAAATACAAAAATTAGCCAGGTGTGGTGGTGGACGCTTGTATCCCAGCTACTCGGGAGGCTGAGGTAGAGAATTCCTTGAGCCCAGGAGGTGGAGGCTGCAGTGAGCTGAGAACACGCCACTGCACTCCAGCCTGGGTGACACAGGCCACACTCTGTTGAAAGAAGGGAGGAAGGAAGGAAGGAAGGAAGGAAGGAAGGAAGGGAGGAAGGGAGGGAGGGAGGGAGGGAGGAAGGAAGGAAGGAAAGAACATATATGTACAATGTACTTCTTCTATAACAAGTATATATTATCTTATATAACATACACAAAAACCTTTTATTTCATATGAAGAAACAAAGGTTCAGAGATAATTATCATGAAAATCATTTAGGTTCATAAGGAATCAGGATATTTCAGCTGAATATGTATAATCTATATTTAAATTTGAAAAATAAAAGCATGAATTAAAATCTGCAAGTCTTTAATTGTTGCTATTTCGTTCACTGATGTAGATGTCTGAGGGAAGGAAGTTAAGAGAGAAGGAAGCAATTATAATCATTCTTTCCATGTTAAACATCCTCTATGGTGAAAATATTCCCATGTTTCCCCAATACCTAGTATATTACTCTCAGCACTTCTGTTCAATATTGTACTAGAGATTCTAGTTTCCTTTTCCCATTTAATTGTCTTGGCATATCTGTTCAAAATCAGCTGACCACATATGTGGATCTTTTTCTGAACTCTATTATTCTGCACCAAAGCTCTCCTTACCTATCTTTACATCAGACACACTGTTACATCACACACTGTGGTTTATAGGAAATCCTGAAGTCAGGCAGTATAATCTTGAAATTAGGCAGTTCAAAAGAAAACAAGCTTAGATTCTTATACTAAGAAAAACAAATAAAAGGTATTTAAACTGGAAAAGGAGAAGCAAGATTGTCCTTATTCACAGGAGACATAGTCATTTATATAGAAAATCCTATATATTCCACAAAAGAGATACTAGAACTAATACGTGATGTGAGCAAGGTTGCAAATATATGATTGATGTACAAAAATCAACGGTATTTCTATATACTATCAATTAACAACTAGAAAACAAAACTGAAAACACTACTTACAGCAGCATCAAAAATCTGATATATAAAGATGAATTTGACCACAGATATGTTAAGATCTGTACAATGAAAACTACAAAGCATTAAAGACTTAAATGAATGAATCAGAAAACTCAGTATTGTTAAAATGTCAACTTTCTCCAAATTGATGTATGGATTCAACTAAATCTCAATAGACTTTTTATTTTTATTTTTTATCTGTTTTGAGACAGTGTCTTGTTCTGTCACTCAGGCTGGGGCGCAGTGATGTGACCACGGCTCACTGCAGCCTCGAACTCAGAGGCTCAAGTGATCCTCCCACCTCAGCCTCCTAAATAGACGGGACTACAGACACGCATCACCATATTCGGCTAATTTTTAAAAAATTTCTTTTGTTTTTATTTTTTGTTTTACGATAATGTATTCTGAACTAGTAAGACCCTTTGAGCAGGGAAGCTGCAGCTTTGGAGAATAACCAGCTGACAACTTTCTTAATTTCCTCTGCCTTCCAGGTTCAAGTGATTCCCCTGTCTCAGCCTCACAAGTAGCTGGGATTACAGATGTGTGCCACCATGCCTGGCTAATTTTTTGTATTTTTAGTAGAGATGGGGTTTTGCCATGTTGGCCAGGCTGGTCTTGGAGCACCTGATCTCAAGTTATCTGCCTGCCTCGGCCTCCCAAAGTGCTGAGATTATAGGTGTGAGCCACTGCACCCGGCCTTAAAAATTTTTTTTGTAGAGACAGGGTCTCAGTATGTTGCCAAGCCTGGTCCTGAACTCCCGGGCTCAAGCAATCCACCTGCCTTGGCCTCCCAAAACGTTGCAGTTAAGTAGGTGCAAACCACTATGCCTGGCCTTTTTTTAATAGAAATTAAAAAGCTAAATTCTAAAATGTACATGGAAATGTGAAAAACATGGAATGGCCAAAACAACTTTTCAAAAGAAAACAAACTTAAGAGACTTACACTGTCCCACTTCAAGATTTCCTATAAAGCCACAGTAATCAAAAGTTTGTCTGATGTAAAGATAGGTATGGAGAGCAATGGTATAGAATAACAGAGTTCAGAAAAAGATCCACATATATGTGGTCAGCTGATTTTAAACACATGTGCCAAGGCAATTAAACGGGGAAAGGAAAACTTTTTAACAAAGAGTGCTGGAACATATATTGCTGGAACAATATATGGACAGCCATATATACAAGGTAAAAAAAAAGCCATAATCCTTACATCACATCATATTTAAAAAAAAAACTAACTCAAAATGGCTCACAGGCTAAAACTGTAAAATGTAAGAGCTAAAACTAATGATGATGCTTGGCTGTGTCCCCACCCAAATCTCATCTTGAATTGTATCTCCCATAATTCCTATGTGTTGTGGGAGGGACCTGGTGGGAGGTAACTGAATCATAGTGGCTGTTTCCCCCATACTGTTCTCATGGTAGTGAATAAGTCTCATGAGATCTGATGGTTTTATGAGGGGAAACCCCTTTCACTGGGCTCTCACTTCTCGTTTGCCACCACGTGAGACGTGCCTTTCACCTTCCACCATAATTGTGAGGCCTCCCCAGTCACATGGAACTGTGCGTCCATTAAACCTCTTTCTATTGTAAATTGCCCAGTCTCAGGTATGTCTTTATCAGCAGGGTGAAAATGGACTAATACAACCATAAAACTTCTAGAAGAAAACAGGAGAAAATCTTCACGACTTTACATTGGGCAATGATTTCTTAAATATGACTGATATTCACCAGCATTTTACAAAACTGAAATACATACCACTTCTTGGTCTTTTCACAATGGATGATTTCCTTGGGAGATTTAACCCTTTAGTACTAATCACTCGTTTCACTCCCACAGTACTCGGATTTTCCTTCAATCGTGGGGCATCTGAAACAACACCCGACTCTGGTCTGGGAGAGTAATTCCTATGCCAAATGCTGCTAACATTAGCTGACTTTTGACATGTTTTGTCATCCCAACTACGACTTCTTGAATGAGCAGGCTAGAAAAGGAAAAGGAAAAAGGTTATTTGCAGAAAGAAAATAATCAATTTATTTCATTCTGTATCAACATAAATTATAAATAAACATCTTAAGTTACCCTTAAAAAGAACAGCTGTTGATGAAACAGCTGTCCTTGAATAACATTTCCTACTTTGCTGGTCCTATACTTTTCCATTAAATGTTTCTTATATTCCTAGGCCTGTTTTTCTTCTGATGAGAGTCAAGCAACTTTGTTAGCTCATTTCAAAAAAAAAACTCAAGAGCGCGAGCAGGTGTAGAAAAAAAGATTAAAAGCAAACAAATAAATAAACATCTTCCTAATACAAATGGTGCAAAACATAAGACTGCAACTGAAGAAACGTGGTCAGGAAAAAGGTGTCTTTAAAATGGAAAGCAGCCAGGCACGGTGGCTCATGCCTACAATCCCTTCATTTTGGGAGGCCGAGGCAGGCAGATCACTTGAGGTCAGGAGCTTGAGACCAGCCTGGCCAACAGTGTGAAACCCCGCCACTACTAAAAGTACAAAAACTAGCCAGGTGTGGCGGCGCGCACCTCTAATCCCAGCTACTTGGGAGGCTGAGGCAGGAGAATCACTTGAACCCAGATGGTGGAGGTTGCAGTGAGCCGAGAGGGAGACTCCGTTTCAAAAAAAAAAAAAAAAAAAGTTATTCACAATTACTACATATTTTGGAAGACAAGGATCTAAGAGGATGTCAATGATATTCTAATAGAGAAGGACAGCGAAAGGGAAAAAATTAGCAAAGATATAAAAAAAACATTACAATCCCACCTGACAAAAATCCCACATGAACTCAGAATCTAATCTAAGCCTGCACTTAAAGAAAGGGAAAAATAAAAATAAATAAAATAGATGACATTATTCAGAATACCCTTTGAGAATTAATAAGGAAGGTAATTTAATTGAGGGAATGAATATAAAAAAATAGCTTTATCAGTATGGCTCATGGCATTAGATCCCACTGATGGTTTTACTAAATAAAAGAGAAATAGACAAGTAGAAAACCAGACTGGGAAAAATAAATTCTAGATTAAAAAAATTCATTTGGTGTACAATTATGGTTCCTACAGAACTTTCTCTGAGAAGGATAAAAATCTGACAGGGATTTGAGCTGATGAAGGATGGCCATCTTAGTGTTCCGTAACATTGCCATTGGTAATGGGACATACTCAACATACCCAACTATTTTTGAGTTTCTGAGACAAAGGAAAAGCTTAAGAATCATTCTTAATGAAATTATAGGCTGGGTGTGGTGGCTCACACTTGTAATCCTAGCACTTTGGGAGGCTGAGGTGGGCGGATCACCTGAGGTCAGTTCAAGACCAGCCTGGCTAATATGGTGAAATCCCATCTCTACTGAAAACACAAAAATCAGTCAGGCGTGGTGCCACATGCTTGTAATTCTAGCTACTTGGGAGTCTGAGGCAGGAGAATCACTTGAAACTCAGAGGCAGAGGTTGCAGTGAGCTAAAATCATGCCACTGCGCTCCAGCCTGGGTGACAGAGCGAGACTCCAACTCAAAAACAAAAAAATTACAATGCTGTGGCCAGGTGTGGTGGCTCCACATGTGTGACCTCAGCAGTTTTAGAGGCCAAGGCAGAATGACTGCTTCAGGCCAGGAGTTCAAGACTAGCCTGGCCAACATAGCAAGACCCCACAGACACACACACAAAATCAGCCAGGCATAGTGGCATGTGCCTGCAGTTGCAGCTACTCAGGAGGCTTGATGCCAGTTACTGAAGATCGCTTGAGCCCAGGAGCTTTGATGCACTCCAGCCTGGAGGACAGAGAAAGAGACCCTGCCTCAAATTAAAAAAAAAAAAAAAAAAGAAAGAAATGACAAATACTATCAATAGTTCAGGTGTGTAAAGATAGGACTTTTCAGTCTCCTTCTTTCCATAATCATTCCTCAAAACAATAAGAATAAGAAACATAAACTTCATCTGCAATAAAATTAGGAGATAATCTGTAACTTCTAAACCACAGTGAAGAGAGAATATAGATGGAAGACATTAAAAGACTTTGTTGGCAGAAAAGAATATCAAAGAGAAGCCAATTCCACCTACAGAAACCTGGAGAAAGGCTTGAGAATTAAAGCCTGGGAATTACAGAAGCCCCTTGTGGGGGGATAACTCACTAAAGAGAGGATTATTTGATCCCTTGTCTCCATCTCCAAGCTGACCACACAGCCAAGTCAACAAACATCTACTTGCCTTCAGAACTAGAACAATTGAAACCCACAAAGAGTAACAGACTCTGTAGCAGGCATTTCTGAAGGTAGAGAGATTCATTTGTCTGAAAACAGAGATGAAACAAAAGGCTAAATATTGAATGGCAAGGAACCATGCATGCTACCCTTTCCTGGCCTGTCCCGACTCACTTTCCCTATCCTGCTCTCAAAATACAGCCAGCCAAAGTTTAGACACCCTTGGCAGACATCTCTTTTTGGAAAAATGTAACTGTGCAGAGAACATTCCAACATTGGAGAATTCATAAATCAAATCTAATGTGTTATCAACCACGTTACCCAAGAATGAAGTCCAACATCAGAAGCCCCACTCACTCACACAGCGCTCCCTAGGAGCTTTTCGGGGCCCCTTCGAATATGGCTGCACAGAAGTTTCCACCATGAGGGAGGAAATATCAACAGAGGAGAAAAGTACACAGCAGTTACAGAGAGTGGAAGAAAACTCAAAACATTATCATATTCTGAGAGAAAGGTAAGAGATGACATCCAAATCTTCAAAAAACAGACAATTAGAGTCCCTAGATATAAAAACATGATAGAAGTAAACAATTCAACAGAATTTCCTGCACTGATAGAACAGTTCTGTGTTGTCCAGTGTTAGCCACTAAGCACTTGAAAGGTGGCTACTCTAACTGAAGAACTAAAATAGCAATTTTATTTAATTTTAACAAATTTAAATAGCCACACACGGCCAGTGGCTACCATATTAGATGGGGCAAGGTGAGAAAATAGGGAAATGGCAACCTGAGTGGAAGGTTTACATAACTGAAGTTGATAAAGTTCATTTTTAGTGTTGTTATGGATTTGTGCTCTCTTGGTAGGCCTGGCTTATTTCCGCTTACAGTAATGGTTACTTTCAGTGCTCAGTGGATCACCAGTTTGTTAGGGGTCATCTTTTCCAGGCTTACTTCTTTTTTTCTCAAGATCTGGTTCCTTTACATGGTAAACACTAAGACATTCTTAGTCCATCCATAATGAACAATCTAAGAATTCCCTTAATATATCACTTTTTCTACATACACTGCTTTTTTTTGTTTTTTAGCCTGAAATCACTCACCCATCTTGAAAAACTCTACTAATCCTTGCAAACTGAGGATACACATCAGTTTCTCCTTGAGCAGACAGTAGAGAGCTTGGCTTGGAATCACAGCTTCCCTATTTATTAAAATGGTGAGCTGGAAACATTAGTTAAGTGTCTTCTAGCTGTTTCCTCCTCCGTAAAATGAGAACGGTGCGGACTTCAGAGGCTTTCTGAAGAGTAAATGAGTTACTATGTCTAAGGTGCTTAAAAGAGCACCTGGAACATAGTAAATGCTCAGAAAATGTTTGCCATTATTATTATGAAAATGTTTGTCACTTAGGTGGAGTGAGGGACATGCTTTTTGTTTCCACAGAGCCTAGAATACACCTTTAGTATAGCACTTACTGCATTTCTCTCTATAGAATCACATCTCCTTCCTATTTAGGCAATGGGCATTTGACCGGCAAGGATCTTACTTTTCCTATATTTCTTCTTATTCTTCATATTCCAGAACCCTAGCTAACCTAATTACATTGTTTCGGTGCTTGATAAATGTTTAGTAAAGCGATAAAGTAGTGAGCAAGAATTAAACTGGAAGCTTGCGGAAAGAAGCAAATGTTAACCAGAAGGACAACTCAAAGAGGCAAGAGGTTGTAGCAACGAAATGGAAGCCAAAGTTTACTTCCAAGTTTTCGGGTGTGAGACCTATAGGTGACACTCATTCACTCAACATATAAACATAGTAAACATCATACAGCAGTGAGGACCACCAAGTTCTGCCTTTATGAAGACCCCATTCTATTGCAAAGAATCAGAAAAGAATAGAAGCATAATGTTGTACAGTAGTAAGTGCTAAGTAGAAACATAAAAGAGAAATGTGATTAAAAGTTGATTAAAAACATGTAGAGTTTAGTTTTGCCTATGAATAGACTTGAGGAAATCAGAGCTGCAAGAGACGGTGAGAGAATTCTGTGGTTGGTGTACAGGAAAGAGACTGGAGTAAAGATGGAGATGTGAGTTCTTCACGTAAATGGGATTAAAGCCCTATGGATTTACCTAAGGAAGAAATGTAAACAGAAAAGAGAACAGAGGATAAATAGGAATACAAAGAGAAAGAGAATGATGGGAGACAGTATCTTAAGGAATACATACAATACTGAAGAAGCAGAAGAAAACAGCAAATTGTGGCCAGGCGCGGAGGTTCATGCCTGTAATCCCAGCACTTTGGGAGACCAAGGCAGGTGGATCACCTGATGTTGGGAGTTCCAGACCAGCCAGGGCAAAATAGAGAAACCACAACTCTACTAAAAATACAAAATTAGCTGGGCGTGGTGGTGCATGACAGTAATCCCAACTACTCGGGAGGCTGAGGCAGAATAGCTTGAACCTGGGAGGTGGAGGTTGTGGTGAGCTGAGATCACACTCCAGCCTGAGCAACAAGAGTGAAATGCTGTCTCAAAAAAAAAAAAAGAAAAGAAAACAGCAAATTGTTTAAAGAAACAGCAGGGCATGCATTAAATATTTGTTAAATTGTGCATGAGTGAAAACACAGCTTTAACTCCCGAGCATTCCTAGGTTTGGGTCTTCAATAAAGCCAAATGCCACAGAAGCTGAACGGAGTGAGATGAGAAAAACAGGCATCAAATGCTTGGTAGAGTCAAAGAAATGCTCAAGGATAAGGGTTTGATAATAAATAACAGTCACTTCTTTAATTTTAAAAAATTAACCACTATCCCTATGCTCTAATACATGTAATTTCTCTAGGATCAAGTTGCTTTTAAGGTACACTCTGCACAGAGCCTGGATATAGAAACGCTTAAAAGACGCTTTAGTGTATGAAGATTTGCCTTTCATCACAGCTCTTGAGACATAACTAAAATGTGTTTTCATAGAGCGGTCATCAAAACGTTACCATAGCAGTGTCCGGATTGTAGTCATCGATCTGTTCAAAAGTATTTATATCTTTATTTCCAAGTGCTATTTGAAGAGCTATGGAATCATCAACATATCTAGGTTAGTAAGATTAAGGACAAAGGTATTTATTAACAACCAACCAAATGATACTAAACTTAGATGGAAAAATGTTGTCTATTGTCACAGAAAATCCATACGTTTATGACTTAAATGGAGTCTCCTTACTTTATGCATCAGCATCACTGAAAGCAAAGACACAGTTTGCTAGTCTCTATCTGTTCCTGCAGGAGTTGGTGTCTTCTGATGAGGGCCCATGCCATCATTGACTCCCTCTCTTTCAAGGGAAACAGAGGGGAAAGTCCTAGCCACCACCTAAGTGACTCAGGGCTCCGAATCAGCCTGCATGCACATGGCCGGTGGCTATGGGAAGGGCATCCTCTCCTGGTGCACTCAAATGCCCAGAATGCTCCTCCTGATAAGTTGAGCTTGCTTGCCACGAGGAGGTCCTCTCAAGAGCCACCTTTGGAATGTGTACCGTAAGTGACGGACCCTCTGTATGCTCCTGTCAGTCAGTCTAAGGAGAATGCATAGCGGATGAGCCTTTGGTTTATGAACAAAAAGTTGTTCTAAATTTTTACTAGCATGGTAATTTAAATGAACAATATACAGATTTCACTATAAAAAAAAAAGCAAAAAATAATGTGCAAGCTTTTTACTAAAGGCCTCACAAAAAATATCACCATAAAAATATTGAAGAAAAATACTCAAATTCTACCATTCTGGTTCAGAAAGGATACTGCCCAGCGTAGCTTAGTGTTTCAGGATCAACATCATCTTCATAGGCGTTCAGAGGAATAAGTTTCCTTTTGATGGGATCAAAAACTAGCTGATAGAGGAAGGTATTGTTGGCCCGAATAAATCCTTTGATGTAATCCTCTGGTACCGTGATATTCATCTTGAGATAATGTCCAATTTTCTTGATAACCTAACAATGCATGCAAAAATATTTTATCTGCAACTAAAGAACAGGGAACATATTATCCTCAAGACTGACTGATTTACATTACAGGGTCATGAAGAGGGATTGAAACATTCACTGCTTTCATCTACGTTAAAAAATTCCACCAGCTAACACAACCATGTTGTATCACTTAAAATTCTAAGTCTCATAACTAGTATTTTGTTTGTTTTTTCTATTACTAATTTGAGGGATAAAAACATACAGTTATATAATACATCGAGTTTGTGTTTCTAGGTGTAACTCTGAGATACATTATTCATTCAACTTCAAAGTCCTTTTTATCAAGAAAGGAAAAAACAAAGAACATCCAAAACCTGAGAATTTAAAAAAATCCAAATATTCCGAGATCACATTTTTAAACCAAGTTGACATTCTGATTTCTGTGACAGTCACGGATGCTTAAAACTGGAAAGGATCCTAAACATTGCACAGTAAATTCATAGATGAAAAAGGGAAGACCCAGAGAACCAAAGGGATCCTGGAGTCACAGGCTAGTTAAGGCATGTGGTCCTATTCCCACTTGGGACACTGTCTTCCAACCTAGAGATCTTTCCATTATATTACATCACTCTTAGCCCTGAGGACTCATGCCTTGTACTCTTGGAAACAGAAAAATGGAATTTCTGCTCTGCAAACTGCAAGGGCTTTAGAGAATATCCAAGGGGGAAAATGAGCTTCTTTGATGTTTATTTTTTAAGAGAAACTACAAAGTAGTGATGTCCAGAGTCTCAGAATTTTCCAGAGGATATATGACACATGATATCAAATGAGACTTAATGAGGCAGCAGATACAGGTTGGGTACACATTATCCAAAATGCTTGGCACCAGAAGTATTTCAGATTTTGAATTTTTTCAGATTGTGGAATATTTGCATATACACATTATGAGATAACTTGGGGATGGGGCCCAAGTCTAAACATAAAATCCATTTACATTTCTACACACTGACAGCAAGAGGGTGAAGGAAAAAAAACTCAATTTATGTTTCATATAAGCTTTACACACATAGACTGAAGGTAACTTTATACAGTATTTTTAATAATTTTGTGTAGCCTTCACATGAGATGAGATGTGGAATTTTTCACTTGCCATGCCAGGACTCAAAAAGTTTTGGATTTTTGAACATTTCAGATTTTTGGATTAGGAATGTTCAACTTGCATACAAACACATCTATCTTACTATTAGGCCACATTAAAGAGATTTGCATAAATGCATGATTCCTCTCTCTTATCATTTTTATTTTTCATAAAAGCATGCTACTTATGCTAACATGTAATGAGTTTATTATAAAGTTTAAGTGTATTGATAAACATTTAAATTTGTTTTAATTTTTAATTCAGTAAATATTAATAGCTATCACCTACACAAACAAAAAATATTACCATAAAGAGCTTGAGGAGGGTAAATGGATCTTGAGACCAAAAAGTTTGAGAACCACTACTATAGAGTTATAGCACAGAAGTCAAAAGACTCTGAGTTTAATTTTACCCCATAATATTTTGCCCTTGAGACTCTTTATACTAGTCTTTATTTTAAAACTCACTACTTTTTTGCCAATTGCAGAAGACATGATTTTCCCAATATACGTTAGTTGCTAAAGCAAAGTTCTAGTGCCTCAGTCATTTGCTCCTTTTAGTAATGTAATATAGGTGATTCACGTAACAGAATATTTAAATCCATATTCTGATTTATTATTTTATTAAGGAAATGCTTCAGAAACTGAATATGACACTTAGCAATTCACCCTTACCTTTACTATATCTGGATTATTGGCTAGTCTTAGGACTTTGCATGCTTTTGCCAATCCAATCCCACGCAGTGATGAAAGGTAGTCACAGCCTGAAAGAATACACATGTAACGAAACTTCTCTTCTGTGAATATATCCCCAAGTTGTCTGCACATTCCTAGCCGAGCTTGATCAATTTCAAGTCCATTTCCAAACTGGTCCATCTTTAAAATCACCTTCAAAAGGAAGGGAAATTGTTAATACCTAGAAGGGCCACTTTTATTTGTCATTATCTAAGCCATTGCAATAATTTTAAGAAATCTTTCTTGTTCTTCACCATAACACTGAAAGAGAGGAGACACAGATAGAGAGGCTGATGACTACAAAGTTTACAAATAAATTATGCTGAAGCACAGGATACAACTAGACAAGGCTATACAGCCAGGACTCAATTGCCACAATTCTGGTATAAAGAAAGCTCTTTTTGCATCTCTTTATTTCCTACTTATGTTACAGGGTTGACATGATAATCAAACAGTAATGCATACAAAAAACATTTTCTCTTTCTCTGTCACTTGTACCTTTTCAGTAATCTTTTTCCTTATTGTTGAAACAATACATGTTTATTGTAGAAAATTTGGAAAATATAGAAATTCGGGAAGAAAACAAGTCATCCATATTCCCTCATTCATCACTGTAGCCTAGCATTAATTAACCTTTTGATAGACACCCTTCTAGTCATAAATACAGGCATTAACAAAAATGAGAACATCCTGTAGTTTTGTATCTTAATTCTCCCCTAAAGTTTTCCATGAGATAGTTTTATACATAATTCTAAATAACTGCATCGCAACCCATTAGTACATAAGTTAGTATACCTAACCTAATCAAGAAATATAAAGCATATGTTGTTATTATTAAAAAATAAAACTGATAGGTCCACATTCTACTAAATAATTTGCATAAAACAATAATAAACCCCTCCAACCTTAAGGGCTTACTTTGAAAAAGTATCCAGAGTACACAAACATCAAGCAGCAAAACCCTTCTTTTCATTTTAAATAATTATTAACATTATAAAAATAGATGTCAGTTGCAAATATTCTATTAAAATAATTTATTTTATAAAACTTTGTAAGTATTGTAAATATTATAAATTATAATAATTTCCTGGACAGGAAAAACTTCAGCTTCTTGATTTACACTACTCCTATCTACATAGAAAAGTAATACATAGTAGTCAGAGTTGAGTACCTTTTTACAGCCAAAAGCTAGGAGATCCGAGTCCTCTGTAATTATGGCTTGTACAATTCCCGCTTTGTTAAGATAGGCCAACTGCGCATCAGCTTCATAGGGAGCCACGAGGCAATCTACGCCCTGAGACCGGGCAGCCTGGAAGAGAATCAAAGTGAATCTCTAGCACGGCATTTGGAAAGTACTAAACAACTTCCTGTTTCAAACCCACTTTATGACTAGCCTCAGCACACACATGCTAATATTACTTTGAGAAATCATTTCCTTTGAAGTAGAGTTTTTCTACTATAAGTTTCAGTATATGTTGAACTAATTATATAGCCACTAAGACATTTTTTTAAAACTCAATTTATAGAATTTGGAGAAAAGAAATACTGCTACACAGCCAGAGGAAAAAAGAATCCTACAAGTTACACAAGTAATTATGTTATTTTTTGGAGCTAGGTTCTGGCTCTGTCACCCAGGCTGGAGTGCAGTAGTGTCAGCCGGCAGGGCGCACTGCAGCTTTGACCTCCTGGGCTTCCCACCTCAGCCTCCCCAGTAGGTGGGACTACAGGTGCATGCCACCACGCCCAGCTAATTTTTTTGTATTTTTTGTGGAGACAAGGTTTTGCCATGTTGTCTAGGCTGGTCTCAAACTCCTAGACACAAGTGATCCACTCGCTTCAGTTTCCCAAAGTGTTGGCATTGTAAGAGTTAAGCCATTGTGCCTGGCCCAATTATTTTATATTATAGAAAGCTTCCATCTTAAGAATGGCTATATGTTCCAAAAATATACATTTGTCTGGAGTTTTGAATATATGTTCCCCATAAAAATAACAGGTTGCCCTGTCAGGCTACGAAAATCAGTGTACTGACAGAGTATTGATAAAATTATAGACCATATTCAGCAATGTCTTAGGGGAAAATACATACACGTGTGTGTATATGTATACACACAAATACAACTCTCCCCTAATAATATATCTTACATATATATTATAGACTACAGCACTATATTTAAACCAATGCATTATGAAAAAATACTTTTAAAATAACCTTGCTAAGAAAAACAGTCCCTATCATAGCCTCTGTGTCAAAATCTAGCCAGTTGGAACTGGAACCTCCATGTTCTAAATTATGGGAAAATGGTTCCCAAGGCCTGAAGAGAGGCTTTGGGGAAAAAAAAAAAAAAGGGAAGAAAAAAAGAGGAGGAAAGAGGTATCAAGATCCTGCTGCTATCAATTTTGGTGACAATTTGCAATTTGCTATTTTTCTCATTTTTTTCTTTTTTTGTCCAGCAATAGTCCTACTCTCATCCTTTTACACCACTATTTATGTCCAATCAGGGTTTCTCCTCTACTTCCGCACACGATGCAGCCTCTCTTCTCCCGACTACACAGAGCACACATTTCCCTACACATCACACTCTCTCTCTCCTGCATCCCACCCTTTCCTTCTAGCTTCACCCATACAGAAAGAGCCAGAGACTCAAATGACAAAGCCAAAATCGGAACTGTAGTGCCTATTTTAGCTCAGGAACTGGATGTCAGAACTGTAAGCTAGAAAAAGCTGACTCCAC